CCAAACTCTCCTTCTATTAGTATTTGTGCTGATACTTACAATCGCATTTGTCGCAGGTCTTTCTACAATTGTTCCACATGAAACCAGGGTTGTTGTCACACTCTCCCCACGATGCCTGCTCCGGACAATCCTCCACATACACTGGATTATCCGCGCACAAAATATTCGCTACAAAATAATGAAACAACATTCTAACTTTAATAATTAAAGCCTGTTGGAATGTCCACATGGCGTCAGGTCCGGTGGGAAACACAAGTATCAAGATTAACTACCAGCTATAGGCTACATATTGGTTATGTCCCTTACATGCATCCGTTGTTAAACAAATGTCAATGAAGTGAAATGAATGTGCGTGCATTAAAATAAAAATGGACACAACTGGGAAAACAACGAGTCGAACCAAATCAATTATTTCAACATACTCACACAAGTCGTTATCAAGCACATACGGTACTATTGCGTTCGGCCACCTGTAGTATTCGTTAATTTCACCGCCTCGTGGATTGACACCCTTAAAAGAAGCGACAGCGCGATATTGAAGATTGCGTTGGCATGGACATTGTACAAATCGTGTTGAGTCGTAATAATTCAGTATACTCACCTCTGCAACCTTGATGTCACCTTCAAACAGATTGTTCTGGCCGGCCTCTGAAAAATATTACGTCAGGGACTTTACAAGTAGAATAAGAAAACGATAAGTTTATGAAGATTACAACGCTACTATATGTTCCATCGAATTTATTTCGCGTTTTTTTCTACTCCTTTTCGTTCCACTTCTCTTTCTATCTAACTATGACGCCTCTTAAACGCTTGGTAACATACTCACCTCGGTTGATCTCAATGATATGTTCGATATTGCCTCTCTCGTGGGCCAGGGCTACGCCCAGACATAGCAAGAAGACCACAGCTCTCATGATTGCTCTCCTGTCAATGACTTCCTGTTAACTGATCAGATCGCTATCAACCCGCCCTATTTATTGCTCCGCTATATATTTGGATCGTAAGCACATTAATAGGGGAATGATAGCGATGAGATTCACTTGTGTGTA